TTCTCAAAGTCTTTATGTTGATGATAGTAATCTCGTAAATGTCTAGTATCATTAATTTCTTGTGGTAACTATTTTGGACGAGACTCAGTTTTTACACATTTAGTTTTTACCTTAGCGTGCTTATTGAGAATAGTATTAAACATATTGTAAAAGTTTTCCAATATATCATTAGAGTTGTGTAAATTTGTCAGGACATTAAAATTGGCACTTTGTAAATCACAGAGAAAGTCTTCCTCATTAAAATTCTTAGAGTCCCTGTATTGAATTTCAGTATGTTTTCCCTTATGCTGCATGCTGTTAGATCTACGCGTTGCACAAACAGGGTAATGATCAGAGATAGCTCTGGGTGGTACTTGGATTTCGCAGATGTTGTCAGGTTGGGTGTGTAAATATGATCAATAAGGGTACTTGAGGTGTCAGTAATTCTAGAAGGTGTGATAATTACTTTAGTCCAAATTCTTTTAGAGCAGATTCCAGGATGGAGGGGGGTCTTTAAGCAGATCTACATTAAAGTCACCTGTAAGTATGATTTCTTGGTCATCACAGCAGGGGGCACTGTTTATCTCCCTCGCTAGGTCCTCCTCCCAGCAGGAGGGTGCAGATGGTGGGCGGTACGCACCATAAAAAAAAAGGTTTTTTTTTAATTAATTTCTAACCATATTGTCTCAATGTTACTAATTTCTAAATCTTTTCGACGTTTATAGGATAAATCATTTGAGATATAAATAACTATTCCAGCGCCTGCCTTATTTTGTCTATCTTTACTTTCAAGTTTTTTGTTTGTTTGTTTATTGTTTAACGTCCCTCTCGAGAATTTTTCAGTCATATGGAGAAGCCACCACTTGCCGGTGGAGAGCTACAAATTTTGACCTATACTCGGCACTCAGGGCCATTGAGCAGTGAGGGATCTTTTTCGTGCCAGCACCTACTGCGACACGGGACCTCGGTTTATACGGTCTCATCCGAAGGACCGGTGTCCACGTCCCACAGTGGGATTCGAACCCGCGACGTAAGGATCAACTCCATACTCCGCGACTCTAGAGCGAGCGCTCTAACCACTGCGCCACGCGGGCTTCTTTCAAGTACATAGCTATCTAAATTCAAATCAGAATCACTAACTCGGTCATGTAAAAAAGACTCTCAAAGCCCCAGCACATCCATAGATCGTTCATCTTGTAGTATTAATTTCAGTTCGTCCAGTTTTGGTACAAGATGACAAATGTTAAAATTTCTAAAACGCAAACCTTTTTTAACAAGACCAAATCCAGAGTTCACCGGAGTACATGTATTTGATATGCTTATTGTTTTGTTTGAATCGAGACTTTCACATGTAAGACTTTCGTTAATCTTATTTTCAGTAGTGGGTATTTGTGCAGCTTTGGGGGAATTTGTATAATTACGAAGTGGATATTTTACCTGAGGATTTTTTACGATGCGAGAATTTTTACAATGCATATACATAATTTTTTGTTACATTCTGAACATACAGTTTGAAGAGGTAAAACATTGTTTTGTAGACTTAAGGAAATACTTTCTGTATATTCGGCCTGACATTCATTGCCCCTATTCTAGTATAGACAAAACTTTTGTTTATGTCCAGGTTTCTCACAATACCAACAGTCTTCTTTGCTACCATGTCTACAATTTCGGGATGAATAGCCTTAATTGTTCTCCACAGTAGTAACAACATGTATACTTCATGGACGCCGACGGAGACTGCATCTGATACTGCTTCAGAATTAGGACATGTTTATTGTAAAGTTTAAGCAGAGAGGCGGTTCCTTGGTCAAATAAATGTATGCCGTCATTCCAGTATAAAGAGGAATTCCAGTCCTTAAAAATGTGACTTGATTTTATCACTGTTGCCCCATACTCCTCGCACACAAAGCGGATAATTTCATTCACATCAGTGATCATTGTATCTTTTCTTGGCATGACTTCAGATATGAAAACATGTATATTTGAATTCCTCTTCCGTAGATCCTTTATTATTTCGGAGAAGTCATTTTCTATTGCTTCCATATCGCGCTGATTTGATACATCATTTCCTCCAGCCTGAATAATGATGTTTTCCAGAGAAGATTCCTCGTAGATACGTAGTTTTTTACGAATAAGTGAAATACTGCCTCCTCTGTTCGTACTCACACTAACATTTGAATTTAACCCAAGGGTTTTAATTTGCTGCAGAAGTGAACTGCCATGATGAGTGTAGATTTCTCAAGTTTCTCAGAATTGGGAGTAGTTTTTGAAAGGAATTCTTTCTTAGTTTTCTGTACACAGGTGGTTCTAGTTCTGTATTTGTTGAGCTTTTTTTTTAGATATGTCCAAATGAACATCGTTACACTGCACATGTCTAGAAGTGACGTTGTTGGATCCCTTCGGCAGATCATCTGTACAATTGCCTTTATTCTTGAAGACTTTCGAAATTGTCTGAGTACTTGAACTGGTTAAGCTTTTACGTACATTTTCATCCAGTTTCTTTTTTAATGACTCGACTTCTTGTGTTAGACGATGAACCACTAACGAAAGTTCCTCCACACGTAGATCAGAATCACCACACCTGCTACATTCTTTTGATTCATTGCACTGCACAAAACTTGATGAATCCCTCATGGTAGTCGATGCCATATGTGGTCATGGTTGGGAAAGAATAATATTTGATTCGTTAATGTCACATGCATAGAAACTTATTTCTTCAAGGAATTTCTCACACCATGTTATCGCCGAACTACCCTGAATATGAAGTACTGAGGTGCTTCTGTATATTGTAGCCGTAACAGATCTACAATTAGTCTTAAAAATATGGCATCTCCTCCAGTGGTTTTCTAAAAAAATATAGCTCCTGTTCAAGATATGAAAAACTGCTGGTCAAAACTCAAAGTAATGCTCCTTTTGTTGGTTGTTACTTTTAGGAATCTGGGTAAGTTCACATTAATTTGCAGTTTATCCTGTCTGTCGTTTAATGGATTTGTGAATCCAGAAAACGAATCCAAAATTGATCTAAAAAGCTTGAACTTGAGCTTTCATCCATCATTTGATCTACTACATTGTGATTATTAACACTGAAATCATTATCCAAATCAAAAAATAGTTACACATAAAAAAAACTATACAGGTATCTCAGGTGAAATCAGGAGCCAATTTAAGTACGTCTTATCACTTCGGTGTCTTATGCAACAATGTTTACTTCCAGAGGTGTCATGTTGATTTACGTCTAGCTTAATTTGGATCAAACTATAAGGTACAACAACTTTAAAATAAGGACATAACCAGCGTACATGTACATGTACTTTACAATGATACCTTTTCCAATGATAATTTTCCGAGATACTCGCAGTTCAAAATCATAATACCATCACATCTTCGTAGACAAAAATTCAGTATACATTTCCATGAGTTTTGAACAGAAATCATATGAAGAAAATCCTTGCATTTTTAAAATACAGATTAAGGGGGAAACGTTTTAGCAGGTATTACTCCAAAATTTGAATCAGAAAAGGTATACAGCATTACCAGAGATCATGAAATTGTACAGAGGACCCTCAATTATTATGAAGTTAAACGAGACTTACCTGGAAGGTGAAGTTTTACTGTAATTTTTCCTCCATTGAGAGACGTAGGGATCAAATGAGATGAAGTTCAAGGTCACGTTATCATAATTCAGAGGAGTAGAAATAACTATTGGGGCATCAAGTTAACACAATAACAGGGTGGGACTTGGAAGATAATTTTTTTTAGGGCTGGGCATTTGATCCCTACGTCTCTCAATGGAGGAAAAATTACAGTCCAGGTAAAACTTCATAATTTTTCCCCATTGAGAGCCTCAGTCTCAAATGAGACTTCAGAGTTGATGACCCAATAATAAAAACATCACAAAAGCCATTATTATCATCCTAAATAAATCCCAAACAAATGTTTGAATTAACTTTATTTTCTCTACGTCAGATCGATGAACATATTTACATACTAGTATATAATATGCTACAAGTTATCCTTATGAAAAGTGTCCAACAAAGCATTGCTTAATTCACTAGACAGTTTAACTGGTTTATTATAAAATTTTCTAAAGGTATTGTCACTTGTCCAACCTGCTGTTCTAAGAATTGTAGCAACAGACACCCTAGCTTTTGCTGCAGCACTAGTTGCTGCTGATGGTGTACTATGCGGTGAAAAACAGTTCATGTCTATTCCAGCATTTGTCATAACTGACTTGATCCAACGACCAACAGTATCCACAGAAATCGAATTGTGAGGCTTTTGCGTACTTATAAACAGTTTAGATTCTGAACCTCTCATTTTTCAGTTCTATGAATATATTACCTATATACATGCACTATACATAAATCTGTATCATTTGGGCAAGCAGCAATAGAAATTTCATCTAAATGATGCCCTGGTCTTGATTGCTTCAACAAATCACCATATCTAATGATTAACATATTATCTCTTACAGAAACATTTCTAACATCTAGAAGATGTAAACCTTGTTTTCGCTGTCCAGATAATAAAGCTAATAACATTGCAAATTTCTTTGACAACTGAAACAATGACAAATCCTGTACAGGAGACAGTGTCTTAAGATATCCTAAAACTTTGTTTACATCCCAATGTGGATGTAAAATGATATTTGGGTAAAGTTGGTCTTGACAAAAATACACCCTTCATAAAACGTTTAACTAAAATATGATCACCTAGTTTCATACTAGAGTGCCCCAAAAGAGACAAAAATGAAGTTAACGAGCTTCTTGCCGTATTTAAAGCACTATAACCAAGATTTTTCTTATACAGATCTGTAAGAAATTCTAAAACTAAATTAGCATCTGCTTTAAATGGATCACTCTGTTTTTCACAACAAAACTGCAACCATTTTTGTTGATAACCCCTATATTGTCTCTTTGAGGATTCCCGCCAAGATCCGCAGATAATATTGACAGTGTCTTCTGGTAACTTTCTACTATACAAGTTGCCGGACAAACTGAACGCACCCATCTTCATCTTTGTCAAGGATGTCGTCGTTCTGGATCCTTTGGCAATTTCAAGAGGATCTCTGTTTTCGGAAGAAGATAACACGGACCTGCCACTTGATGCATCACCTGCGGAAACCATGGCGGTGTCTTCCACACTGGAGCTATCAACAGAGCAAACTGCATTTCTTCCTCCTTGATTTTCTTCAAGACACTGTTTATGACACTAAAAGGAGGAAATAGATAACAGTCAATATATCTCCAAGAGTGTGCAAAAGCATCAACTCCTACAGCATTTGGGTCTGGTGTATATGAATAATATTTCTCTAACTGATGATTGTCCTTAGATGCAAATAAATCTATATCAGATTTTCCACACAGATTTGTCAGTTCATTAAAAACCACTTCATCTAACTTCCAATCCATGTCTATATTTTTGCGAGATAACGAATCAGCTATAATGTTTGTTGCACCCTGGACATGTTCTGCACTAAGCCAGATGTTTCTATCTATACACCAAATCCATAATTCACGAGCTAGTTCATTCAATGTTGAGATCTTGCCCCCTTGCTTGGTAACATACGAAACAGCTACTGAATTGCCCATACAAAGTCTAACATGGGAGTCTCTAATATTCTCTCCCAACCCTTTTAGAGTATAAAAACCAGCCAAAAGCCCCAAATAGTTAATGTGTGACTCACAAATATTCTTGTCCCATAATCCACTAATTGCTTCACCTGAATCTTCATTAACTCCACCCCATCCAAACTTGGAACTATCACTTTTGAAAAGAAATTTTAGAGAGTTTCTAGTTATTGATTTAAAAGATTTACACACATTCAGGGACCACCAGTTTAGTAATGCCCTACTCTGATGTGCAATAGACATATGGGCTTCAAAATTACCTCGATTAAGTTTTAAAGCCAAATCTTTCTCAATTTCTAGGGTCTTATAATAAAGTCTAGCATATTCTACCCCTGGTTTAGAGGCTGCAAACATGCCTACAAGCTGTGCCACCTGTTTTTTTGTCACTTCATTCTGATTCAAAACCATATCACAAAAATCTTTAATAGATTGCGCTTTCTCTGGTGTAAATCTAACAGTCATTGTAACTGAATCTAATAAAAATCCCAAATAGACAACATTCTGGCTTGCATAAAACTGAGTTTTGTCTGGATGAATGGTAAATCCAAGACTATCCAAGGACTAAACAGTGTCTCTTAAATTAACTTCACACTCATCTTTTGTATTGCCCAATAACAAAACATCATCTACGTAAATAATATTCAAATGACCAAATTTCCTAAGTTCAGAAAAAACAGGCTTCATGATTTTAGTAAAAATACGTGGAGCACGGGCTAGTCCCATAGGTAAACAGGTGAACTGATATGTTTTTACTTTCCCACTTGAACCTAAGATATTGTCTACTACATTCAAGAATTTTTACAGAATAATATGTATCTTTGATATCAAGTGAACTAAACTTTCAATTTGGTTTAATTAAAGATAATGCGGACCTTAAAGTCTCCATCTTGAAATGATGATTGTCAACAAACTCATTTAAATTCTTTAAATTCAGAATTATTCTAAAAGACCCATCTTTCTTAGGACGCAGAAAAATATTTGAATAAAAAGAATTCTCACATAAAGTCTCATTCACATGAACTCTTTCCACAATTTTCTTCTTCAAAAATTTTTCTACTTTTCTGTGAGCTGCTTCATATTCAATTTCAGAAAATTTTAGTGAATTGGGTACATGAAATTGAAAAGGTTCTTATTTGAATTCTATCTTGTAACCTTTAACAACATCAAGAATCCAACTATCATGAGTCAATCTACACCAATTATGTAAAAAATCTTTGATTTTGCCTGCAGTAAAATTTTCAGGTGTGTTCTTCAATACAAACTGATCTACATATGTACAAATATTAGACATACTAACATCATGTGTAACTACTGATTTGACTCCCCCTTCTTCTTTTTCTTGTTGAAACTGAACTGTTTGGCCAAAAATTGCTCTTTCTGGCCCCATGCCTTGACTTCTTCCCGTAGCTATTGGAGAGTATGGGGATCCTGTATTTCCCACCATAATCTTTGTTCGATATCTTTTGCGCAAGTTTCTTTGCCTCTAGGACATTCTTCACTTGACTGCCCAAGTCATCTCCAAATAAATTTTCTGATGAGCTCTCTGCGGAACATAAACTAACAAACTGTTTGTTTTTCTCAGGCAGGATAATTTGTTCCCGCCTCTTGTAAGACAAGTTATGGAAAACACATTTCTGAAACTTCAAGATGTCACCACACAGCTGTTTTGCCTTCTTCACATCAACCAACCCTTTTTTTCGAGTTGCAATTAATGAGCATATCAAACAGTCTCAATGTCGGAATCATGGCTTTTCCTATAAAATTCTGAGTAGTCTGTAATTTAATGCCACTTGCTCTGTTTTTTGATGACATGTTTTCCCATATGACTTTGTTGACTTTTGGTGCAGAAACATTGTTAATGTTTTTGCCCTATCAACTTGTTGGAGATTTCTTTAATTTTCTCCTAGTTAGTTTTCGTCATGAACATTTTCTCCATTATCTTTGCAAGTTCAGAACTTAACGGCTCGCTTGTCTTGTCTTCATCACCAAAAAATTCTGACAGTTCATTAAGAGCAGAGACTTCGTCATCATCTGATGAACCATGAATACTATCGTCTTCCTCAATAAGGGAATTGAGTGCGTTATCGGCATCCGATTTATCTGAATTTTCTTCATCAGATTCATCATCGCTAAGTTCATGAGAAGGCCGATTACAAACAGTCAGTTTTGTTTTCTTGCGAGGAGGTGGCGAACTACTCTTGTTCAGTCCGTGTTTCCTCGAATAGTCCGGCCTTGTATCCACTAAGGACAGATCAGACTTCAAAGCAATAAGTTCTTTTTGAACTGATGACATATTCTTTGACATATCTGCAAAGTTACACATAAACATGTCAAACATACCATTCACAAAATATTACTCTGCATGGCAACTGGTGTCGAAGAATTCGACTTCGATTGCATCGTGTGATCATTACGAGCAGCATCCTCGTCAACTTGATCTACGAAGTCCAGCGGCTCATTAGCCATGACGAAAAAGAAAGAATACAGTATAAATCTGATTCTTTTAAATGCTAACTCCACACCCCTTGGCATGTAAAAGCAAATGGTGCAAGGGGCTAACAGTCCCTGCATCAGTGACGTCACTGAAACAAGTACTGCACATCTTGATCAACACGTGTTGAACAAAATGTGCAACGCTATAATATTCCCACATGGGAAAAAGCGCAAAAGAACAGTTACAAAACCAGTGAAAAATTTAATTGATAAATCCGAAAAGAAAGACCTAACAAAACTCGCGTCTGAACTATGAAAAGACACAAACTTCTACGATTACGTGACCTTGAACTTCATCTCATTTGAGACTGAGGCTCTCAACGGGGAAAAATTGTAATCATTGAATTATTCAGGGAATATGAAAATAAAGTTGAGTATGTCCTTAAATATTTTATACTCAGTGTGTTCTTTTTAATTTCATTTTTTAATCTAAATTTTAGAAATACAATCCTAAGTAAATTTCATAACTGTGAAAATTAGATACAGTAGAGAATACTTACTCCCCCATGGCACCTTATCCCACCTCTATTTGTATAGATTCAATTGTCTTTTGAAATTGATTAATGTTCGTTATCTCTATGTTTCAATAAGGTTTAAATTTTATGATTACATCTGTTTACTTGTCACCATCTTTCAATGCTATGACTTCTTTGAATTAGAATACAACTGAACAACTCCAATGAGTACTTTCAGTACTTTGATTTAGATATGTAGCGTTTCTTGTGTATGGCGTGCAACAAGCCAAGGCGAACAACCTGATATAAAAAAAAATTCATCTTAATTATGACTTATCAATACCAAATTCTGTACAAAAGGAATGAAGAAATTATCTATTTATAAACATTTATGAATGAAATTAATTTAAGAAATAAATCATCAAACATTAAATATATTTTAAAAACATTTTTTTTCAATATTTAAATTATATATGACATTTATAAATTTAAAAGATACACTGAAAAATAAATTTTCCTCGAAGTAGTAATTTGTATCTACTGTACAGCCATTTTTCGTCATATGAACTAAAAGAGCCCCTTAAAATCCATAAAGACTTTGCACATCACTTTGCCATACATGTGTGTCTGAAATTTAGATAAAAAGGCCATGGATTTTATAAACTACTTTTTGGCTGACCTTTTTGCAAAACAGACAGTAAAAGACAGATATAGATATAGATATAGATATATATATATATATATATATAAAACTTGTATACTACTTATAAAGAAGAAAACATTCAGGTTAACATCAACTGGCTTCCGAGCAAAAATCCTTTGAATTTAACTATTTGTCTCATATAGGCTAAAATAAATAATTCAATATATGAGGCAGATCAATTATTGTGTGAATCTCTCCGACGATAAATATATTGACAGACCGGAGAGCTACAGTTCCACCCATTAAAAAAGTGTACATCGCACGCAAAAAAGTGCGGGTTTTTTCTCCATTTATTTCTCCGTGCCAACTCAAAATATTACAAACGGTGTGTTTCTAACATATTCTTTTACTCTTTTTAGATTAAAACATTTGAAAAATTTCGATAGATTATACTGCTATTTTGGGTTGCAAGATAATTTGGTTCAGCAGTGTGGTTTTTTTTTAAATCCATCTTTTTTTGCAGTTGAGGTAAGAATTTCTTAGAAATTAATCCAGAACCGAGCGCAGCTTTTGTGCGCAATATATATACTTGTCAGTTTTTTCTATATGGGTTGCGCTGTAGCTCTCTGGTCGTCCATCCTAATCTTTACATAGCGAGATCTGCAGCAGATACGGAAGTAGATAACCTTCTGGTTAACCATCCGGACTTTCAATTCCTATAAATATATGTTTTTTGTTTTGTTTTGTTTTTCTAAAGACTGTCTTATGTCGTTATTAGTTCCTTAGGTGTATTAATAAATGTAAGGTTGCCATATTTTACTGATCATATGTCAGACACTTTAATCCAACCATATAATGAGATATATTACTGAAAGTATACAGATCTGGTCACTACAAGGTGACTTTACAAGAACTTCTAACCTACCATCGCTGTCATAGGATTAAGCCGATAAGAAGAGTTTGTTTACTACATGTACTTATTTTTACACTACACTGATTGAGAATGCTTTCATATTTGTTTGACTAATCATAGCTTAAGAAGATTTTTTCATATGTTTGATATTCTATTGTGGCCCATCCTATCCTCAGGGGACATGATCAGAACAAATTCAAATATACCTTACCTGAGGATGCTTCTGAATTAATATGACTAATCATGAATTTGTTATTTTTGTTAAGAAGATTTTAACGATTTATCCTATGCTTTGATCACCATTTATGGCCCCTCCCTACCCATGGGGGTCATGATTTGAACAATCTTGAATGTAAACTACTTGAGGATGCTTCCATATAAATATGTCTAATCATTGCTTTACTGTTCTTGAGAAGATTTTTAAAGCTAGTTTTTCCTATATATTTCTATGCAATACTTTGATAGCCCATTGTGGCCCCACCCTACCCCCGGGGGTCATGATTTGAACAAACTTGAATCTACACTACATGAGGACGCTTCTAAATAAATATCACTAATAATGGCTTTGCTGTTCTTCAGAAAGAGATTTTAAAAAAAAATTTCCTATATATTTCTATGTAAAACTTTGATCACCCAATACGGCTGTACTGTTCTTGAGAAGAAATTTTTAAGGATATTTCCTAAATATTTCTATGTAATACTTTGATCGTCCATTGTGGCCCCACCCTAACCCCCGGGGTCATGATTTGAACAAACTTGAATCTACACTACCTGAGGATGCTTCTACATAAATATCATTAATAATGGCTTTGCTGTTCTTGAGAAGAAAATTTCTAAAGATTTTTCCTATATATTTCTATGTAAAACTTTGATCACGCAATATGGCCCCACCCTACCCCCAGGGGTCATGATTTAAACAAATTTGAATCTTCATTATGTCAGAAAGCTTTCATTTAAG